AAAAAGTGTTCCAGGATGCTAATTAGAGAATAGAATACCATTATGCATCTGTAGAATGGTTAAAATCCAGACCACCAGCACCAATAAGTGCTAGGAAGGGTATGTAGCAACAAGAAGTCTCTATTAGTATGGGGAATGCAAAGTGTTACAGCTACTTTGAGAGATAGTTTGGCTGTTTCTTACAAAACTGTATTCTTACACAATGCAGCAGTCACATACGTTGGTATTTACCCAGAGGAATTAGAAAGTCAAGATTATGCACAGAATTTTTATAAGTGTTATTCATAATTTCCAAGACTTTAAGCAAACAAATGTTCTTTGGTAGGTGGATGGATCAGTGAGCTATAGTTCATCCAGACAATGGTATATTTATAAATGCTAAAAAGTGTGGTACTGAGGCATGAAATTACATGAAGGAAATGAAAATTCTTATTACTGAGTGAAAAAAATCAGTCTGAAAAGTTTCATGTACTGTGTGATATAAACTTGCCCATTCTGGGAAAGGCAGAACTAGGGAGACCATGGAATGGTAAATGATCTCTGGAGTTAGAGAAAGATGGGCTGAGCTGGTGGAAGACAGGACTTTTAGGGCACTGAAAACATTGTACAATACCTTAATGGTAGAGCTGGAGAAATAGCTCAGTGGCATAAGCTCCTGCCTGGCAAGCACATGTTCTGAGTTTGATCCCTAGTACAAAAGGAAAAAAACCCTTCATGGTAGATAGGTATTATTATGTTTTTTTTAAGCCAGACATCAGTGCACACCTGTATCCCAGCTGCTAGGGAGGCTGAGGCAGGAGATTATTGCAAGTTGAGAGTAGCCTAGCAATTTAGGAAGTTGTTGACTCAAAATTAAAAAATAAGAAAAGACTGGATGTAACTATGTTCCCTGTGTTCAGTTCCCAGGACTGCAAGTAATATATTCATATATGTATGTGTATATATATGTGTGTGTGTGTGTGTGTGTGTGTGTGTGTGTGTGTGTTTTTTCTCTTCCCAAACCTGTTGAATATATAGCACTAAGAGTGAATCCTTAATGTAAACTGAGGACCTGCAGTGATTGTCAGGTGTCAGTGCATGCTCATCTACTGTAAGAAATAGTCTGCCATATTAGGGAATGTGATCGTAGGGAAGCTAGGCAAGTGTGTGGGGATAAGATGTATGTACGGAGTCTGTCTTCTCTCAGTTTTACTATGAATCTAACATCACTCTACAAAGAAAATACAATACTAATGTCTAAATCTAACAAAATATGTACTTACATGCTAAAAACTATGCAGTATTGATGAATGGAACCAAAGATCTGAGTAAATTGAGAAAAACTTATTCATAGGTTGGAAAACAACAGAAAAGTGTCAGTTTTTTGCCAAGGTGATATACAAGTTTAATGCAATTCTGATCAAAACCTCAGCAAGATTTGTTGTGGCTATAGGAAAACTGATTCTGAAGTTTATATGATAAAGACAGAGGTACAAGAATAGTTAATTGAAAATGAATGAAGTTTCAGGGATTACTGTACTCTTAAGGCTTTTATCAGATAGCCACAGTAATTAGGATGGAAAGACCTGTAGATCACTGGAACACAGGTCAGTTCTCAGCAGAGGAGACCATAGGAATTCTTCAGAGAAGCAGAAGGGGTGCAGTGGTGAGGAAGGTGGCCTTCCCAGCTAGTGTGCGAGAGGAATGTACAGTGATAGCTGAAAAAGTGGACCTTGACTTCAGTCTCTTACCTTAAAAATGAGCATTGAAGGGTAGCAGAGCAGATGTACCTAGAAGCACAGGATTCTAAGACTTAGAAATAAATGTATGAGAGTCTCAGATCTGATGCCAAATGCATGAACTATAAAATGAAAACTCGACACATTGATCTTCATCAACATTAAAAATTTAATGTGCAAAAGACCCTGTTTAAAAATAAAGAAATTCAGACTCCTAATTTGGAAAAATTATGTTCAGACCGACCACCTGTCCAGCAGATACTTAGTATCTGAATATGTACAGAAGTCTCAACTCAGTTTGAAAGCAAAAAATTGAATATGAGAATGGGCAGAAGGAACCTATACAGATGGCAGATAATGCACTATACCAGGATGGCTAACTTTTTAGAGCTTTCAGTCATAATAAACAGCCAACTGTGGCACATTTGCCATAGGTTTGCCACCACTGCTGCATACAATAATAGTTTCAAGCCCATGAAATGATACCATCGTTCTGCGTCAAGGTAATACATATTCCTACGTACCTATCAGAATGGCCAAAGAGAAAAATAGTGAACACAAAGTGGAAAAGGATGGGGGGTGTGTGTGTGTGTGCAAAATCATTATACATTGTTGATGGAAATATAAAATAATTACCACTTTGGAAAATGTTGTCAGTTTCTGTGAAAAAGCAAAGTGAAACAAAACAAAATCTATAACTCCCATATAACCTAGCTATTGTCCCAGAGAAGTAAATATTTATCTTCATACAAAACCAGTACATGAGTATTTTTAGGAGTTTATAATGGCCAAAATCAAGACCCAGTGTCCTCCAACAAGTCTGATACATTCTTACATGAGATACTAAAGGAATAAACCTCTGTTAGAGGCAACAACAGAGAATTAGGCTGAATGAAAAAGTTCACTCTCAAATGATTACATTTTGGATGATTTTATTTGTTTATTAATGAAATAAAGTTACAGAAATGGAAAAACTGATCTTTGGCTCTATCATTAAAGGAGGTGGAGCATGTGGAATGTGGATATGACTGAAAGGGCAGTGTGATGCAGTATTCTGCAGCTTGGCTGTGTCAATATGTGTGTCTTGGCTTTGATATTCAGTTTATTTTTATAAGATGTTCCCATTGGCAAAAACTGAGAAAAAGGTTCATAGGGACGCTGTATTTCTTATATCAAAGTAAAATGTTTTTAAAAATTGGTGAATCATTCTTTCTGATATTCTACTTATGCAAAGATATACTTTCTGCTTTCTATGGAGTGTCTAATAAGGTAAGGTGTTTCTAGATAAACTATTAAAATAGAAATACTAAAATGGCCTTCAAACTTATTGGGAGTTCTGGTAAAATATGGTTGACTTTTAGGTATCTACAACGTACAAGTGATTTTTTTTTTTCCCATTGTTTTTTATAACTAGACTGCAGCGGAAGTTGGGATAATTGAGAGTATTCATCTAAGAAACTTCATGTGCCATTCAATGCTTGGGCCCTTCAAATTTGGTTCTAATGTCAACTTTGTTGTTGGCAACAATGGAAGTAAGTCCTTCTACCCTCTTCTCTTGCCTGAAGATGACCATTAGCTATTGTAATAAGTAACTATTAATGCTGATAGATACTTGTTTTATGGCTGTGTAACTAACAGTTGTAAATATTCTCCATGTCTATTTTCTGCTTCTTGTAAAGAAGATATTGAGTTAACTTTAGGTATACTGTTTAAACAGTTAAAACACTCCCCTGCCCTCATGAATCTCCTGTTGCCCAACCTGGCCTTGAACTCATGGGCTCATGTGACCCTTTGACCTCAGTCTCCCAGGTTCATGGGACTAGCTATAGTTGTCATCATACCCAGGAAACTCCTACTTTTAAGAAGTTTTTTTTTTTACTTTGTAATCTAATTCATAGAAAGATGAACAAGCTATCAATATATTTGAATCAGCCCAAAGTTTTTTACCTTGACTAAATGTTAAGAGCCCAAATGAATTGAATGGGAATCCAGACATAAAAGTAACAGGGCTGGGGAGATGGCTTAGTAGAGTAAGCGCTTGCCTGGAGAGCGCAAGGGCCTGAGTTCAATTCCCAATTCCACCAAAATAAGTAAATAACAATTCTCATGTTGTGATCAGTGAAAGTTTTACAATTTTGTGCTGGTACTTGAGGGAAATTAGAGATTCGCTAGGTCTCACTGGGGCAGAACCTGAGCTGCTCTAGCAGAGATTGCCCATCTCAACTGTTGGGTGAGTAAATGTGCATGGGGAATGAAGCTGACACTGGAAAGTCACTGAATCCTCTTGTTGAGGATCCTCAGTATCATCATAAAGATTTTGAAGTTCAATTCAAATGTCAGTGAACGCTGACAATGTTTTTTTCTAAAAGATGTTAAAAAATGTTTTATTTATTTATTCATTCAGGACAGGGTCTCACTATGGAGCTCAGACTCATAGTGATTCTCCTGTCTCTGCCTCCCCAGTGCTCAGACTAGAGGCATATGCTACCACACTCCATCTTGGTGGTTGGAACAGCATATTGTACCAAGGATTGAACCCAGGTCCTGGTGCTTGCTAGGCAGGCACTTAGATGGCTGAGCTATTTCCCCACCCTTGAAAATGTTTGAATAAACAGATGACATGGCTAAGATTTTTGAAACAAATAGGCCACAGTGTGGAGAACAGATGAAAGGGGGGAAAATACAACAGGCAGAAAGACTAGTTAAGCAACTCTTGTGATGGATTGACCAGGCACCAGGTGTGGGTGGCTTAACTGAATGGTACACAAGGAAGGAGGCTTGAAGTCTGTCTCCTGGTGACATTTGTGGATTAAGAAGCAAGGTGTTTGTACCTTCACAGTTGGCTCCAGTGTTCTCTTTTGTCTACTTATCATTTAGTCAGGAAGGAAGTAGCTTCTAGGAGATTGAAAGAGAAACAGCTAACTACTACAAGGAGATCACATGGGATAAGAAGTAAAGAAGACATGTTCTGAACTTAGGACATTTTTTTCCTCTTTATTTTTAACTTTTGAAGCAATAAATTATTACATTTATTAAAATTAAATAGAGGAAATAATGCAGGTAGAGTCAGTGGATTTGGTAAAATGCAAACTTTTTTTTTTTTTTGCAGAACCGGGGATTGAACTCAGACCCTTGCGCTTGCCAGGCAAGCACTTATTCTACTGAGCCATCTCCCCAGCCCCTAAAATGCAAACTTACTAAAAGTTAAGTTGAATTAAGAACTTGAAAGTCATTCCAGTAACTAAATTGGGTTAGTCACTGTATATGTTGGTTAATTTAAAGATATTATGGAAATTAATGGGCTGGTCTGAATTGATCAGCTCAGCTCAATTGATAAGGAGTTCAGAAAATGGTTAATTCTGGGTAAATTTTGAAATTGGAGCTTGTGATATTTTATATCTGCCAGGGTAAAAAGTATATTTTTCAAAGATCTACAAAGTGAGTAAGGTTCAAATTAAGGATAATAATTGTCCCAATGTTAATATAGTGGGGAGAAGATGTGTAGGAAAAAAGATGTATAAAGAATTTAGCCATGTTATTTATGTACAGGTGCCAACTCCCCAGTATGAATGTCATCATTATTCACTGCAAATGTGTACTAGTAAACATAAAAATAAAAAATATCTTGTGAAACATCTGCACGACTTTGCTAATTTTCCTATTTTATCACTCAAGAACTGTTACTGAGGGTGCAGCATTGAATTGCAAGTTGTTGGAAACGTGGAGCTTAATTTCAAGAATTATTGAAGGTAGTTGAGATATCTGAGCGTTTAGTGAAAAAATAGTGATGTGTGTGTGTGTGTGTGTGTGTGTGTGTGTTTAGGACAAGGTCTACAGTGTCTCATTATGTAGATCTGACTCAGAGTGATCTGCCTGTAGTTAGCCTCCCAAGAGCAGGGATTACAGGCATGCGCCACCTCGCCCAATCTTAATTGCCATCTCAGCGTGCCCCAGGGGTGGGTCTACACTGCAGGCCCTGTTCAAACCCCAGCCACTGCATGGAAAGCATAGTAATTGTAACTAAATCAGAATTAATGAAATGACATAAATTGAATGTATGTCTATAAATAGAAGGATAAGTTCATGTACTGAGCTGATGCACCAAAGATGGTACAGTAGGCGTTTCAGGTTGGGAGGTATCACACGGCTTTCTTCTACTTCCTTAAGAGTAGCAAAACTTTGATTCCCAAAATACACCAAATTTTTAAATAGTGGAGCTAAATATTTAACAGGGTATACATTTTTTTTTGTTGTTGTTTTAAGTTGGCTGCTTTGTCACTGGAGGAAATTTAGAAGTTTAACATTGTATTTCATAGTAAGACTTTATTAAAAAATCTTTTCCATCAAATTGTAGGAGTTAGCTTTTCCTTTTCTTGAATGAATTCTTTGACCTCTGTCTCTTTAGGTGGAAAGAGTGCTGTGCTCACAGCTCTCATTGTGGGGCTCGGTGGAAAAGCAGTCGCTACTAATAGAGGATCTTCTTTAAAAGGTTTTGTGAAAGATGGACAGAAGTAAGTATTTGCTGTCTGGGTGTATATTTATTCCTTTGTGCAAAAGCAAGTATGTCATGGCTAGGAAAGAAGGGCTGACCGTTCTTCACTGTCACTGTCTTTTGGCATTACACTTACATTTTTTCTTGTTGCAGATTGCCTTTAGTAATGGTATATAAATTGTCTGATTTGCACCATTATGTATTTTTTTTTTTTCTTGTTTTTTGGGGCTTTTCTTTGTAATAGAGTCTTGCTTTGTGAAGGCTGGCCTTGAACTCACAGCAGTCCTCCTGCCTCAGCCTCCTGAGTTGTGGGATGACAAGTGTGTGCCACTTCTGGCATGACTTATCTTTTGCCCAGTAGTGACTTTCTCTCCAGGCTGATCTTTGTTCTTTTTCATTCTGCTCCAGGTGCTTCTGAGGGGATCCTTGCTTTTAATAACCATTAATGTTCCAGAGTGTTAGAATCTTTTTTTTTTTCCCCTCAAAAATTATAAAATAACAGGGCCAGCCAAATAGCTTAACAGATTAAAGCACCTGCAAGTAGGCACAGGGCCCGGGGGTTCGATTCCTGGGCCTACCATGTCAGCCCTTCCCCCAGGTGCGCTGAGAAGGCAATTGAGACTGTGCATGGTGGGATTACACATCTGTAATCCCAGCTCTTGGGAGGCTGTAAACAGGTGGATCACTACAAGTCCGATCTAGTAGTGAGACCCTTAACACCCTGTAGACCTTTCTCTAAAATACGAAAACAAACTAAAAAAAAGTTATAAAAGTGCAAAAATTAATGCAGGTGTCTTTTTTTAAAATCAGATAATAGACTTTCATTCTTGGTGTTTCACTCATTTAATTTCCTACTTTATTACTAAAAATGGAATGGAGACAGGTTGTAAATCAAGATAGCTGACTTCTTATGTATTGCTTAGAAGTTTAAGACCACCCTTAACATTAAGACAGTTAATGTTAAGGTCCCAAGTTAACACAAGGGAAGCAAGAATATAGTCATTTCTAGTGCTTTTGGGGCTTGAAAGAGAGCTATTGAGTGAGAATTCTTCAACATAGTTTTTTTCTGCTTAACCTTACTTGGTTCCCACTGAAAGTCTTCTGTCTTCCCTCCCTCCGATAAATTGTCTGAAATAGAAAGTTAACCATCTTTGAGTCCATGGTCCCAACTGTACTTGATTATACTCAACTGTTCATTTTGTAGTTGTCTAGATAATTACCTAGTCTGCCAGATAACATGCTGATCTTTCAGCATTTGCATGCTTTTTTTTTTTTTTTT